TTGGATTTTTCTTTGTCATCTAGCAAACAGATCAATGATCTTGATGACTGACATAGGTCACGGACAAKTTTTTGGTTTTGTTTGTTGTCATCAGAAGCTGACATGAGGACCACAATGAGAGAAGAGACCTCCTGCAGGAAGGTGAGCTGCCTTTTGTGTTCCTTTGCATCTCCATGAAGGTTCATGAAGGTCACACAGTTGTCAAACCTGTCCTCCACTTCCCCTCCAGGGCAGAACCAGCAGATTTCCACCACACCCCGCATCAAGAGGCAGTTCTTGCTGCTTTCTCTGCAGTGTCGGTGGAAAAACACATCATGTTTATGTTTACTGAGAAGACAGTTCATGATCTGAGATTTGGAAGCAGACAGGCCATTGCCAACCCTAATGAAGGACACAATGGGAGTGGAGACACGACACATCTGCTGACTCTTGTGACTGTTCTTCCCTTGTGGTGATTTCCTTGCTTGCTGCCAACTTCTCCTAATTTGTCTGAGAGACCAGAGAGAGAATTCAATTTGAGAAGTGCAGGGATTTGGAACCAGGAGGGGCAGGGCAAACTGACAGATGGAAAGTTTGGTCAAAATGTATTGTCTGGCAAAATCATCTGCACAGTGAAAAATGGTCATCTGGATATCCATGGGGTGAATGTGGGTCTTGGACTCAGTGGTCACAAGCTTAGTAAGATTCTCACTATCTTCAAGAAAGTCTTCATATGGATCAAAATCCTCATTTTCCTGGTTGGAGGCACTCGGGGAAACCTGATGTTCTATGTTTCCATCACCTTTGAAGACTAGGTATCTCAGTCCATAATCCAGCATCAGTAGCTTCTGAAGGAAATAGAAGGGAAGTTCCTGTTCAGATTTGGGCTGAGTATTGCACACAGAAGTCTTGTAGATCTGATGGAAGTTAGCAGTACTCATCTTTTTTGGATAGTAATGATCTAGTCCCAGATGCTGGATTAAGTCTCTTAAGGCTCCATTTTGCATAACCTCCCATCTGTTATTTTCATTATCATGTGATTCAAGGAAGTGTTTACCTCCATGGGAAAGAGTTTGCAATAGTTTTCTTGCCTTGTCCTTTTGCAAAGAAGAGATGGGGACTTCATTTTCCCTATCAATCTGTAACCTCAACTGTCTTTCTAGGTGTTCCCAATTAAAATCTTTCTCATATTGCTTGAGGTGATATTCAACTCCTTTATGCAATAATTGTCCCATATGTTTTCTCATAAATTCCATGCATTGTGTCTTCTCTTCTGGGGAAATAGTTGTGACTCCAGTTGTTGTTGTCAAAACTGTGAGCACCAGAAATGCATGGGCCCTCTGAATGGAAATACTCTTCAGCTTCTGATATTCATTGTAGGCAGTTTGCATTTCATCCAGTAGCAAGTTTAACTCCTCATGCCCCAGAAGATGCTGAAAAGTTTGGTTTACTCTCTGATATCCTGCCCCAGCTGCAATGGAAAGTAGCAAGTGCTGTGTGTCTTTCTGCTTTGTTGCATTAAGATGATTGAAAAAGCTGTAGAATACTAAGCTGACCTCATAATTCGCCTTTTCTTGAGCTTCTTTTACTGCTTCTGGGGACTTAGATTTGTCCTTTATGTCCAAGAATTCATTCAGAATTTTGTTTATGATTTTAATGAAATCAGAAAATTGGGAGATTTTGTATTGCTCTTGCTCCGACTCTGACTGGTTGATCCACCTCATGATGGAGTAAGCCTGAAGAAAGTTTTCCACTTTGTAGATGTGAGGATCTAGAAGGATACTCAATTTAGATTTAATACATTTGGCTTTATGAGTGGAAGAAAGTTTGCAAAAGTTGACAGTATTGAATAGAAATGTCTGCAGATCCCTATCTACGAGGCATATATTAATCCAAATTTCATGACTTTTTAGTTTTTGACTCAGTGTTTGCATGAATTCTATCAGTTTTTGAAGTTGCTCTTCAGGATCAGACACCTCCCAGGACCTCACTTTATCTAGAAAATCTCTGGCCTCCTGAATAGTACTCAGTAACTCCTCTCCTTCCTGGATCTGTTCAGTGAGGCCAGTCAGAGCAGTGTAGTTGTCTTTCAGGCAGTTAGCCACTTTAAGAGGATCCTTAAAATCTCTTCTGTGGCTGGAGAGGATGATGTCCCAAATGGGCACCAATTGAAGTCCACGATCAATGACACGCCAGGTTTGATTGTTGGCAACAAGGCCAGCTTTCCACTGGGCAAGGTCATCTGCTTCTTGTGGGCCACCTGTCTTAGACATAGATAATTGGAATTTGGTTTCGAGGTTTCTGAAAGTTTTTTTCTTAGAATCTGCTTTTGATTGTGAGTCTGACCAATTCGTACCTGCAGCAACATTCACACCAATGCCACTGTAGCTGCCACTTATGTAAATATCCAGGGCCTGTATTGCCTGCTGCTTCATCTCAGTCAACTGGCTACTTTGGAAACCATTTGAAATGGCCTTCCACCAATATATTCCTCCCAGGTGCACAGGGCCTTGGTTAGCATGAGAGCCAAACCTGTGGAAAAAATTTTCAGTCCAGTGTTTCAGCAACTGGAATCCCTGTGGGTGTGTAATTAGATCTAGGATGTTTTCGAGGCATTTTAATTCCTGAAGAGCAGCCTTGGACAACTGGAGCTGATCAATGGGGAAGTGGCAGGATGCCATAGGTATGTAGCTGAACTTGGTTGAGCAGAAATAAGAGCACTCAGAATTTGCTCGTTGAGTTTCCTTGGATTCTGAATGTTTGTTTTTATTCAGTTCAGGTTCTAAACAAAATCCCCAACCTCCAACCTTGGCTGAGGCAGTTAAACTGAAGCCCAGTTTCTCTATAGCCTGGGTAAATGTGAATTCTGCTTGAGAAGATGTAAATTCTTCTGATTCCATCCGTGTGCCCTGTTCAGGGCCATAGATCTTGAATTCATTGGGCACACTGAGTAGCTCCTCTCTCTTCTGTATCAGGTGCATTTGGTGGCATGATTTGTAAATCCCTTGCAGGGCCAGCCCTCCAGATGTCCATCTCACCAAGTCTCTATCTGAAAGATTTTGTCTGTGAGACAGTGTCTGCTCCTTGGGACTCAGTTGTGTCTGCATGATTTCCATGACTTCACTTAGGGACTTTTCAGGCACTGGCCTGTTCTCTTCAGGGATCTCCATGGCTTGCCTCAGCTCTGCTTCTTTTCTTGCCACTGCCTCTTCCTGTCTCTGTCTCCCTTCTGACAGCATGTTCCTCAGCTCTTTCACTGCTTGTTCTCTCTGCTTCTCCTTTTTCCTCTCCACTGGTGACTCCTGTAACTCTGCAAGACTATTTGAGTGGGACAGGTCAAGCAGCTTCTTCAGGGCCTTTTTTTCCCATGGATGATGTACCTGGGATTTTAGCTTCTGGAGGTCTTTTTCTGTTAAGTGTTGTAAAGCTTGGGCACAGGTCACACCCAGGTCTTCCTGAAATTTGGACAACCAGTACTCAACATCCAGTCCTACTTTTCTCAGCATCTCTTGAAGATCTTCCCTCTTTTGGACTCTGAGGAGAGGCTCTTCAGGGGTCTGCTCTGTTGTGGCCATGGCTGTGTGAAATACAGACACTCAATTAGTTTTGAGCATGTCCTGACCTTAGGAAATGTTAGCCATGTGATCGAAACAGTGATAAAGCAAATCTCTCCAAAACCTTCCCATCCCTTGCTTTACTTATTCTAAAATATTCTCTGTTTGTTCTAGATGTCATTGTGTGTGTTATCAACAGAGATTGCTTTTTTAATTTCCCATGCTGACTTGAAACTTAATCATATGTTTGGGACATTTACTGCACAAATGACTACATGGAAAATATGAGGCTGAATCATGGAGTTTGAGAATATCCTTGAGTTTCTAAGTTTGATGCTTATTTTTTAAAAACTAGAGTGATACAACCATTTTGTTATCTTTCTTCTGTTTTCTTTCTGATGAATGGTTTCATTCCTATATGGATATCACTTCTTCTCAGGTTATTTAATGTATATTTGCTAGCCTGTCGTTTGAAATGAATTTTATAGGTGGCATCATAATATGAAACCTTAAACGATACTACAGAGCAATAGTAACAAAAACAGCATGGTATTAGCACCAAAATAGACATATAGACCAATGATACAGAATAGAGGACACAGAGACTAACCACATAAATACAGTTATCTCATACTATACAATGGTGTCAAAAACATATATTGGAGAATAGATGGCCTCTTCAACAAATGGTGCTTGGAAAACTGAAAATACATATGTAGTAGAATGAAATTGAAACCCTATCTCTCATCCTGCACAAAAAACAAGTCAAAATAGATCAAAGATTTAGGCACCAGAAGAGAGAACTTGTACCTAATAGAAGTAAAAGTAGGCCTAAATCTTCATCACGTCAGCTTAGTACCTGAGTTCCTCCACCAGACTCCTAAAGTTCAAGAAGAAAAATCAAGAATCCACAAATGTGATGTATTAAAACTAAAAAGGTTCTTCTCAGCAAAGAAAAAAATTAATAACGTGAAGAGAGAGTCTACACAATGGGAAAAAATATTTACCATACTCATCTCTGATAAAGCACTAATCTCCAGGATATACAAAGAACTCTGAAAACTTCAAACAAACAAACAAACCAAACCAAATAACCCATTAATAAATGGGCTAAGGAACTGAACAGACATTTCAAAGAAGAGGAAATACAATTGATCAACATATGAAAAAATATTCATCATCTCTAGCAATTAGAGAAATGAAAATCAAAACTAATCTAAGATTTCATGTCACTCCAGTCAGAATGGCGATTTTCAAGAATACAAGCAGTAATAATTGTTGGCGAGGATGTGGGGGAAAAGGTACATTCATACATTGCTGGTGGCACTGCAAATTGGTGCAAACACTCTGGAAAGCAGTATGGAGATTCCTCAGAAATCTTGGAATGGAACCATCATTTGACCCAGCTATCCCACTCTTCAGTTTATACCCAAAGGACTTAAAATCAGCATACTACAGTGATCCAGCCACATCAATATTTATAGCAGCTCAATGCACAATAACTAAACTATGGAACCAACCTAGATGCCCTTCAAGAGATGAATAGATAAAGAATATGTGGCACATGTACACAATGGAATATTAGTCATAAAGAAAAATGAAATCATGGCATTTGCAGGTAAATGGATGGAATTTACCTGCATGATATCCCATGCTAAGTAAAATAAGGCAATCCCACCAAAAACCAAAGTTCAAATGTTTTCTCTAATAATGGATGTGGATGCTGATCCATACCGTAGGAGGTGGGGTATAGGGAACAATGAAGGAACTTTGGCTTGTGCGCAGGCAAATGAGGGGAGAGGTGCAGCTGTGGAGATGGGAAGAACAGTAGAATGAGACAGGCATTATTATCCTATAAACATGTATGATTACACTACAGATGTGACTGCAATATGTACAACCATAGGAATGAGAAGGTGTGCTCCATTTGTATACAATTGTCAAAATGCATTCTACTTTCATGTATAACTAATTAGAACAAATTAAAAAGTAAGAAAAAATAGGTGGGGTAGGAAAGTTGGAGGGGATCAGAGGTTCACTGGATTAAAGAGGGTGGAGTTGGGGGAAGAATGGGGGCATAGAAGTAGAAAGACAGTAGAATAAATAGAACATAACTTTCCTATGTTCTTATATGAATACACGGCCCAGTGTAACTCCACATTATGTACAACCATAAAATCAAAATTTATACTCCAAGTATTTATTATATGTCAAAATACATGCTACTATCATGTATATCTAAAAAGAATACATAAAAAAGTAAAAAAATAAAATAAACTTCTAACCTGATTTAAGCTTGTAACTCACTTCTTATGTTTTATCTTCATCTTTCCATTACCTGTAGAATTATGTGTATGTAAATGTTATCCAAATCTATGTACTCCATATTCTCCTCATTCCAGAGTTCCATTAGTGTTTTCCCCACTACCATCTTTCATCTTCAGTGCATATAATTAGACAGGAGATGAGTCATGGTTTTATTTGTTTCAATTTTGTACATTATTCAGTCTTTTCTTCCTCTTATATTTCCTGTCTCATTCAATGCCCCTAGCATACATGCCCAATGGTTTACTATAAATATAAATTTATTATACCATGACTTTTCAATTTATCCTCTTTTTAATATTTATTTTTTTTTTTTAGTTGTAGTTGGACACAATACTTTTGCTTTATTTATTTATTTTTATGTGGTGCTGAGGATTCAACCCAGGGCCTTGCACGTGCTAAGCGAGCACTCTACTGCTGAGCCACAACTCCAGGCCCTCAATTTATCCTCTTAATCCTCTGATTTTTTATTGTATTTCTTCATTGGTACATTATAATTATACATAATCGGGGATTCACTATACTATATTTAAACATGCACATAACATAATTTGGTCAATCTTGTTCTGCAGTTATGTTCCTTTCCCACCCACCATCCACTGATCTACTTGCTCTACTCTACTGATCTCCATTATACTGTTATTTTGATGGTTAATAATATTATTATTATTTTAATTAGTGTAATATGGGAAATTGAGTTCTTTATGGTATAGTCATACCTAGGTGTAGCATAGTTTGATAAATTTTATTCTCCAATGCTTCCCCATGCAAACCCCTCTTCCCTTTCTCTTCCTTTATTTTCCCCTTTCTATTTTCAATAGATCTCCTTTTTTATTCCTTTTCTTTTTTTCTCTCTAGCTTGCCCCATGAGATAAAACATTCAACCTTTGTCTTTCTGGGTCTGCCTTATGTCACTTAACATGATATTCTCCAGTTCTATCCATTTGCCAGCAAATAACATAATTTCATTGCTTATTATGGCTGACTAAAAGTCTATTATGTACACACCACATTTTCTTTATCCATATTCCTGTTCAAAGGCACCTAGTTTGATTTGATAACTTGGTTATTATTAATTTCACTGCTATAAATATTAGCATGCACATATCACTCTAGTATGGTGATTTTAGTTCTTTTAAATACATATTGAGATATAGAATAGTGGTGTCATATAGATATTCCATTCCTAGTCTTTGGAGGAATCTCAATACTGCTTTCTGAATTGGATGTACTAATTTGCAGTCCCACCAATAATGTATAAGTGTACAATTTGTCCCCCACATTCTCACCAGCGATGATTGCTTTTTGTATTCTTGATGTTAAACTCTTTTTATTCTTATTTTTTAATTCCTCTACCCACTGGCTCTTAGGTTTTTCCTTTACTTGTCTTTATTGGATTGTTGTAATATTATCCCATCTGCTCTGGTTTGAATGTTTGTATCTTCAAAAACTCATGCTGAAATTTGTCATTTTGCAGTATTAAGAGGTGGCACATTGAGAGATGATTTTGGCATGAGGTGCAGCACCCTCATGGATGGGATTAGATCCACTATAAAATGGTAATTACAACTCTCTTTAGCCTTTTTGTCCTTCTGATTTCTTTATGTGCTAACACAGCAAGAAGTCTCTGTTCAGATGTTTTGGCCTTGACTTGGACATTCCAGCCTCCAGAACTATGAGTCAATATGTAATAGGTTTCCTTTCAAGGCACTATGGTCCAATGTATGCTTCAAATATAAATCTTGTTGCTTGACCACTGGTGGATTATTTTTACATTGACATGTGTTTTTTTGTCTTCTTCTCCTTCTTCTCTTCCCCAACTACAGGGGAAAGTATCATTAACATTCTTCCTGTTCTAATCCAAGTTATCTGTTCTTCTCCTCACTGTACAGAAGAATAAAGGAATTCTGCACTAAAAACTCTAAGAACAGATTTTTTAAGGATATAAACTTATTAAATCTACTGAAAATAATACCTGGAAAATAGCCTTCATATGCCTATGTCAAAGTTCTCTGTTCCTCCTGGAATTGAGAATGGTTTGCACAGTGATGTGTTTATTGCCTTTCTTCATTGCTAAAAAAAATACAACCTTTGTTTTTCCAAAAAATTTATCTTCATTATTGGATCAGCATCAAGGACAAGGACTGAGTTTTGGTATCAAATTTGGCACCCCAGGTGGGACCTGAGAACAGCCTCTGTACCTTAGGTAGGTCTGGCAATCCAGGTGTGAGCTAGTTGAGAAGAAACCACTGGAGAATTGGGAGAGAGACAAATTTGCCTTAGGTCAGACCAGAGTACTTATTCCTGCAAGTTAAAGGAAACAACTGAGGGACAATCCCAGTGGCTACCAAGGCTCTGTGACTTCAAGGAACTCCTGATTTCTTTCCCTAATCTATTTTATCTTGTCTTTTTGAGAACAAAGAAATTCAGTGGAATAAATTTAAATTGGCAATCTGGTACATCCGGTGGTGTGCACGCTAAAACCCTCAGTTCTATACATTTGTTCTTCATATAAACATCTGGTCCTTCTTTGTGGAGACATCTTTGGGTCCACTGGTGTAGAAATCATGGTCAAGTGTAAGTAGGAAAGCTATAGGTTTTGTCCTCATCTAGGTTATCTGTGTTAATGGTCTCCAATCTGTTGGCCCTGGTTTTGGAGATCCCCTCTGTTATGATTTAGATATTTGGCTTCCCTG